CTGTACGCATGCCTGAGCGCCCAATATTCTAGATATCTTTTGTTTATTGATTATTGGTTAATTTTCTCTCTAGTGAAATACCTTATCCCAGATGCCTCCGGAATGAAAAGCTGCCGTTTCGCAGTGGTAAGTCTGTTTAAAAAAACGCTTACACTAGGTGATCATTAACTTTGAGAAACCGTAGGTATAGCGTTAATATTCTGATACAAATCGACATTTCAAAGGGAGAAAGATACGTCTAATATTTTTCGATACCGTATGATAGAGAGTTATAGTGGTTCCGTGGTCTAAAAGGAATTTTTAAGAATGTCAATTAAAAACTTGCCTATAATGCTAATAATAAAATTACACATATTAGGTAATGCGCAAAAGAGACTAAAACAGCGCGCGGTCCACTGGAAGTCGGGTATTTATGAAATTTCTTGGAAAGATTGTAATCAGAAGATACCAGCTGTTGGAAGGCAAACCCTAAAAAGAATCAACATAACTTAACTAGAATTTAAAAGGAACAATTTAGCTCAGATAAGATAATGGTAGACCAGAATCAAATCAATTGCGTTTTGCCGAAACTAATTGTTGATAAAGAACATTGTATAGGATCATTAATAATAAATTAACTTAAACAACGCTCTCAAATTACCCAGCCCAATAGATGAAGCATATGAAAGCATTACAAGAATTAAATAAATTAACAGAAAAGTCAATGAAACAGAGACAACGCACAATTTCCTAAATCAGATTCTATTGTTCCTACCTAAACTCTAAAGTAGGCGGCTCACTACTAACCTCTCGTTTACGCTCCAGGTGGAAGGCCTCTAGACTCGGTTGGCTAGTTTCTGCCACGCCCACTCGGTTGCCCACTGAGCGAGTATATAAACGCTAACTTGTAGATTGTACTTTTAGTTTTGAATCATCTGCTGATTTTGATAAGCAACATGGGTAGCGAAACCGGCTCCCAGTGTTAAAAGTAAAGTGTCTTTGGTGTATTGTGGTGGATTTAGTGTTTTTATTTTTGGCTGTGTTAACACGAAAAAAGGTTCAACCCTCAACTGTAAATTATTCGTACAAAAAACTTTTTTTTTTTTTTTTTTTTTTCAAATATGCTAATGCTAATGAACCACCCTACACGTATCACATTTGAAAAAATTGAGAATATAGTTGAACAAATAATAAATTGACGGCAATAATTTAAAGCCAGCACAGGACAAACAACACTAAAACCATTAGACGAGTTCCAAAATATATTTTTCGCAAGGGCTCCTTGATTAAATTTTTTTTTTTTTTTTTTTTTTTGCTATATCCATTGCACTCTAGATTGAAATTATCAAAAGATGACATATGATAAGTATGTCATCATATTCAGAGTGTCAATTTCGATCGAATAAAGTAAAAAAATACCGAGGGTGCTATTTAAAAATTAAAAGTTGTAGTCATTTCCGGTGAAACAGGAAGTGGTCGAAACGAATTGAATACGTCAATCAATCCTAGTTTATATCATATACTAATGTACCAAATCTCGTTTTTTTATCTGAAAAAATAAAAAGTTATAGGGGTGAGCCACTTTTGAGACGCACCCGGTATATGAGTTTAGATATTTTATATGTTTCAAAACAATCGGTTCTATTATTTTTTATAAGAAATAAAAAATATGTTTGATGCAAACTTTTTGCTAAGCACTGTATAAATTTTCGTATTTTTCTCTGTAGAATCTAGTTTATATTTAATAGAAAATATTAAATTAGTATTAATAGTTAATTTAATTTTATTTATTTTATAGAGACAGCTTTTGGTACCTCAATAGGTGCTCAAAATCAAGAAAACATAGAATACGTACAGGCAATAAAAACATTTTTGGAAATATTTGTCTATCGTTTCTACTCAGGTTGGATGGGATATCTTATCTTCTTTAGATTTTCCGAACATTACAAAAAATATCACAAAACGGTGAAAATTTTGCATGAATTTTGCGAAGATGTTATTAAAAAACGAAAAGAGAAATTTCGGAAAAAAGACAAGGTAGGAACTAATCATAATTAATAAAATAGAAAACAGATTTCTTGCAGTATAGGTATATAATAAAATTATATATGGATTCTTGCCCACTTAACTGCTGATATAGAAATTTAATTCTATGCTGTGTTTGTCATAATGTGGATCAACCTGCTCTCACTACAGGTTTCGGAGCCCTACTCCATCATCAGGTGAGCTTGGGCAGATCCACAAAATGACAACCACAGCGCAGAGATAGTTAATTCCGACTTCCGAAAGTGTCGGTTAGATAATAAGTCCCGAACAGGAGATAGCGGCCTGCGCGCAATGGTAGTACTTTCGTACCACCGAGAGGCGCAACTATCGATAGTAAAAGGATGGTAAAAGGCTTTTTTCAGGCAAGCCAAATTATAAAATAGAAAACAAATTTCTTGCAGTATCTTGCTTGCTGCCCAAGCTCACCTGATGATGGAGTAGGGCTCCGAAACCAGTAGTGAGAGCAGGTTGATCCACATTATGACAAACACAGCGTAGAATTAAATTTCTATATCAGCAGTTAAGTGGCAAGAATCCTTATATAATTTTATTATAATTAATATAATATTGAATTGAAGTATTATACTTAGATAAATGAGGATGAAAATGATGGAATAAAAATCCGTTCGGCCTTGCTGGACATGTTATTGGAGGCCAATCAAAATGGAGAAAATTTATCTGATGAAGATATTAGAGATGAAGTGAATACGTTCATGTTTGAGGTAAATAAACCATATTTCAGACTACGGAAATATTAAAGAAAACCTGATGAAAATATACCTGGTGGTTCGAACTGTGTTCCGGAAACTTTGGCAGCATATTCTGCAGATAAAAATAAGTAAAAGAGTTCGTATAAATGTATGTCCTAAAATGATTAGTTTCGGAGATACAGGGTGTCAAAATTTCATTTTTATTTCGATTTTTCCAAATAATTTCTAAGATAAATTATTAAACGATATAAATAAAATATCTTTTTTCTGATCAATCGCCTCTGAAGTCAATGTACCTCGTTTATTGACAATAGAGACAGTATTTTCAGCATTTATTTTCCTTATTTCAAAAGCTTGATTGTGAATTTGATAATAATAATTAGTACTTCAAAAACCATAAGTGGTAGCCACAAATAGACCTAACATGATTTTTAAAAAATTAGGGTCGGTATAATAGTTAGTTAAACTATTTTTTATAGTAATTTAGTTTTAGTTTGATCTGAGTATAGTGACAATGTCTAAACAAATCAATTTTATAAGATATGACTATGAAAAATATACAGGGTGGTCCGAACTGTATTCCGGAAACTTCGCCAGCATATTCTGCAGATAAAAATAAGTAAAAAAGTTCGTATAAATTATGTCCTAAGATGCTTAGTTTCAGAGGTGTACAGGGTGTAGAATTTTCATTTTTATTTCGATTTTTTAAAATAATTTCTAAAGGAACGTCAATATTTGGACGAAAATTGGTGTCTGAGAGTTTTTTGACATGAGAAATTTGATTTTGATGTCAATATGACTCCTATTTATAGGGGGCGCCACCTACACATCCTTTAACTGTTTTGAAGAGTAATAACTTTTTGTCCATACATCTTGTAGCAGGTTTGCGTTGCTCGGTGATGTGTGCACTTTGTCGGGGCAAATCATGTTCGAATAGTTTGGAGGTGACAAAATTAGACGAAGATGAGTGCGAGGACAAAATTTTCCTCTCGATAAAGATCAACGAAAAGAATATTCTGCACTTTATGAATCAGATCCGGAATATGATACAGATGTGGAAGACATTCAGGAAGATTATATTGAACAGCCAGTAAAATCAAAAAAACGGAGAAACTATGATGAACCTTCCACCTCAAAAGAAACCTAAGTTGACGATATGTGGATTAGGCTTATTGGAAATAGGGAGACAACTAAAAAAAAAACGCGCCGGGTACTTTACCTCAAGGCAGCTCCCTGAGAGATAAGGCGGTTAAACTTGATTTTCCACCAGTCGGGCAGCAATAAAAATTTAGTCCGTTATTGCGGTTATAATAGAAATTTTCATTCTTCCATTATGACCGCGACAGCAGGCTACTGCCAACTAGGAGCAAACAAGTTTTTAGGCTTTATGTCTCGGGGGTTCCGCTCAAGGTGGTGTGGAAACCGATACATAGCGAAAATTCGATACTTTGGGTAGTCGCACGAAAAAAAACCATACAACGTTTTTTATTGAGTTTTTCCTCTTCTTTAATTTTGGTCTCTACATATTTTGCACTAAAGTTGATAGAAATCGAGTTATTGACAAATAATGAAAAATAAACCGAATTTTAGCCAGTTTTTCCTAGATGGCGGCCAAATCCGGGCTTTACGGGGAGTGCGAATTTAATACATGTTTCTCGACACCAAACTAAACAAAATAAAACTTATTCCAGCTTGTCCGGATTTGCTCCCGCTATCGATGCACTTGCCGACTGGCCTAATAGTGGTCGAGGTAAAGCAATTTAAAATACTTATAGAGTTTAAAGTGCCAATATTGATACCATTGACACATACTTACATTAAGAAATTAATAATTATTATACTTATCGCAGTCACAACAGTAGTAGTTTTTAGTCTGGAAGGAAATTTTTCATCGTGATACTTTCTTAGTATTAATTATTGTTAACATTGTAACAGCTGGAATATTTTAGGGACATGATACTTCAGCTACAGCAACATGCTTCACATTGTACGCGCTAGCTCAAAATCCCACAATACAGGACAAGGTTTACCAGGAAATTTGCGAAGTAATTGGTAATGATCCAAAGGAAGAAATAACGTTATCACAAATCAACAATTTGAAGTATATGGATATCGTTGTTAAGGAGGCTCTGAGAATATATCAGCCTGTACCATTAATTGAAAGAAACATTGATGCAGATTGGATATTAGGTAAAATCTAATTATTTTTTTAATTTGTTTTCCATTTTCTTAACTAGACAGATTGCAATAATAAAAACTAAAAAAACATTTTACAGGGTGTCACAATATTCTGCGGATATAGAACTATTACGTATTTTAGAATCAAAATAAGTTTATTGGACACAATTTACCTCTATACAAAAGTGCTTTGTTTGTCCGCTAGACGGCATCAAACTTGAAAAATTAACACATTCTTTACTCAAAAAGTATCACATTTATTAACTTTAAATTCTAAAAGCCTTTTCTTCATCATTTCTAAACTTTGCTACCTTCCCGTTTGGG